GCGTAGACACAGTGTCCAGCTTATATTCATGCCCCTAGAAAATCTGGCCTAAGATCTTGAACTGATAGGCAAATCAGTATGCGCACAAACAAATGCGCAATAAACTGTCGATTCGACTTAATTTCTAGCTAGATCGATAAGCTGTCGTGATAACAAATTCACGTAGCAAGCCAATTTACCAAAAAAGTCACAACCCTTCGTACCTCAACAATGCCCAGTCCGCTGCCATCCCCACATCAAGATGAGGTGCCCCGGCCAGGATTTTGCAGGAAAAGCCAATTTCAGAAAGGAAGTCATAAATACGAAATAGCGGACCTCTGCGCCGACGATGATGGGCAGTTCCACCGCCCCACACGCGTCCAACTGGCCGCTCCTTTGCCTTTTCCACCTTTGCCGAGCGTGCTGGAGTAGAACCTCCTGCCGGGCGCGCCGAGCGGAGACCGTTGCCACAGCTACTTCTTTTCCAAGCACTGTGGTGAAGAGCCAACGAATCACTTTCTTTGTGCAGCTGGGCAGAACGCCTCGAGCCAACAAACTTCTCGGACCCTTGCCAGACGCTCAGCTGCAAATAATCCCGCTAGTACAACGCACAGTATGCACAATCAAGAAAACTCTGCAGGCATGTAGTTCGAAGGGCTCTCCCAACTGGCTACAGGCCAGGGTGGGGGTAGAGAGTACGAGGAGCTCTCTCAGCTAGCTGCGGGACGGGGTGAGGGGAGGGCGGGTGACAGGAAGTAAAAGGCACTCTCCCAATTGGCTGCAGGGCCGGGGCGGGGGCACAGAGTACGAGGAGCTCCCTCCCCGTTGGCTGCCGGCCGGGGTCCAGCGAGTGTGTGGGAAAGCAGGAAGTACGACGGGCTTTCCCACTTGACTGCAAGTCGGGGTGCAGACAGAGAATACGAAGGGCTCTGCAATTGGCTGCGGGCCGGGTTGGGGAGAGAGGATACGAAAGGCTCTCCCAGTTGCCTGCAGTCCGGGGTGGAGCGAGGGCCAGCGGCAGGTAGTAGGAAGTGCCCTCCCAGTTGGCTGAGGAATGGGGTGGGAGCAAGAGAAGCTCTCCCAATCGCCTGCAAGCGGGGATGGGGCGAGAAGAAGGAAGTACGAGGCGCCCTCTCAGTTTGCGGAGGGCCAGGGCGGGGCGCACGAAGTACGAAAAGCTCATTCAGTTGATTGTGTCGGGGTGGGATGAGGACCGGGGAAGGCGGAGTAAAGAGAGGACCTCCTCAGGTCCTCTAGTCGCCTGCCTTTTTCTCATCGACGCACTATTTCTAACAACAATACAACATTACCAAGAACACTAAGACCGCGTGGACAATCAGTGTGGGTATCCCATGGTGGTAATTTTACTCGGATTCTACCGCACGCTTGGCAGAGCTATGCTAGATCCCTCGATGCTGTTCTGCGTTAGTACTTGGCGCATTTTGCAGTATACTATCTTGAACTAGTTTGCTGAATCATATATCCTGTACAAGCGGACCAACAGATCCATTCACTATTTTTTGCTCAGTTCTACAACGGATCCCAAAGATGGGCTGACATGCAGGTATCCCGTC